TTCTCCACCAATGAATTTATTCCTCAGCTCCTTAAAAGAAGAAAATAGGGCTGGAGAGATTGCCCAGTGGTTAAAACACTTGTTGCCAAATGTGAGGAATGAGTTTGGATCTGCAGAACCCACATAAATGCCAGGTGGGCGTGGCGGCCGCTTGTATTCCAGCCTTGGAAGGCAGACATAGGGGATCCGCAGAGCAGGCTGGCCAGGAATATTAGCCATGTCTGAGAGCTCTGAGTTTCACTAATAGACCCTGTCTCAATGAATAAAATGCAGGAGTGATTGAGGATGATTCCCAGTATCAGCTGGTCCTTGACATGTAAGCACACACGTGTATGTGTGCTCACACACTTGCAAAATGTATATACACACATACACATGAAAATGGAGAAAAAAGCAGCTTTTTATTCATGGTAATCTCTGTGCATCAAGGGATTTTCACAACTTAGAGTGCTGCAATAGGTCAGGGAGGGGAGGTTTGTGTCAACAGCCAAGGCCCCGTTCAAGGTTTCCAAAGTCATCCCAAAGTCTATGCTGTGTCTTAAATTCCAAACCTGAAAGGACAAACATGGTGGTTTGTGAGACTCCAGATAGTCCAAGGACAGAGTCACTGTTCCAGAAACAGAGGTGGAAATGGGGATGATGGAGGGAAGTATGAGGGCAGAGGGAGAAGGAAGAACATGCACAGCATGGCAATAAACAAAGATAAAAATCAAAAGCCCTTATGAAATGGGAGAGCTGGGAAGACAGTCATCAGCAGCCTGGAGGAAGGAGAGCCAGTCCAGGGTCCACTGACGCATGCAGGCAGCTTTCTTTGTATATAATTATATCCTAAGGCGTGTCCATTTCAGCAGGGAGTCTGTTTTCAAGGACTTTGTGGAAACATATATGTGATGGTTAATCTTCATATCAACTTGACTAGATTTGTCATCACCTAGGGGACCCTCTTCCGACATACCTGAGAGTGTTTCCTGAGAGGTTTAACTGAAGAGGGAAGACCCACTCTGAATGTGAGCAGCTCCGTCCTTGGGCTGGGGTCCCAAGCAGAACTAAAAGGAAAAAAAGAAAAAGAAAGCTAACTGAGCACCAACATTTCTCTCTCTCTCTCTCTCTCTCTCTCTCTCTCTCTCTCCTTCCTCTTCTTTCTCCTCCTCCTCCTCTTCTTCTTCTTGACTGCATGTGCCATGCCACCATCGGTTTCATGATCTATCTGCCACACTTTCCTCACCATGATGGACTGTATCCCTCAAACTAAAAGCCAACGTAAACCCTTTCTTCCTCTAATTCTTTTGTAGGGTATTTTGTTATAGCACTGAAAAAAGTAACTAATACAGAAAAGAAGGAGCCAGGTTTGTTTTTTAAGTCTTTTTAAAAAATAGTTAATTTGTTAGTTTTATTTTATGTGAATGAGCCTATTACCTACATGTATGTATGTGTACCCCTGTCATGCAGTGCCCACAGAGGTTAGAAGAGGGTGTTGGGGGGCTGGAGAGATGGCACTGACTGCTCTTGCAGAGGACCCAGGTTCAATTCCCAGCACCCACATGGCATTTATGAACTGTCCTTAACTCCAGTTCCAGGGGAATCCGAAGCCCTCTTCTGACCTCCTCGGCATTGCATGACACAGGTACTCACATGCACGCAGGGAATACATTCATAAGCATAAAATAAAAATATTAAATAAAATATTTTTTAAAAAAGAAGAAGAGGGTGTTGGATACCCTGGAACTGGATTATTGACAGTTGTTAGCCACCATATGGGTGCCTGGAATCAATCCTGGGTCAGCTATAGAGTGGCCAGTGCTCTTAACCTCTGAACCATCCCTTGCTCCAATCCTTGGGGGAGGTGGATGTTTGGCCTTGGCAACTGTCATAACAGGGAATACTATGAGCAGCTAGTGGGAGAGAGGCCAGGGACACCACTACAATACACAAAGTAACTCCTTACAATGGAGATTCATCTGTCCCCAAAACCAATGGTGCGAAGATTGAGAAACCAGAGGTAATCTGTTAAGACTATATAACAATTTTACTTAGGTCTGGGAATGTATGTTGCACAATGACTTGGGATCTAAGCAGTCTAAAATGGATCTGATTGCAGAAACAGGGTCACTAATGGTTAACCTTGGTCATTCCTGATGTAACCAAGTCTCTCCTAAGGGCAGGTGCTTGTGGAAGACTAAGCAGCTGTTCTTCCTGCCACAAAGGAACCGCTCACCGCCACATTCCCTTACTTGCCCAAGATTCCCTGACTACCCTCCACATTCTTGTCTCTCTGTGTTTTGTAGGCTGTTCTACCGACCTTTTAATTTCCCACTGGTCTAAGGGGTCCAGTTTTGTTCAGCTACCAGAGACATAGCACAGGTCTTACACACCTTCCCACTATCCTGGAATTCCTTCCTAAACATAACTAAAGTCTGAGAGTTTTCTTTTTCAGTACCTACTGAACTGTTTTGTAGGCTTTCAAAACACAGCTTCCTGGCTTACTTTACAATGGACTCTCTCAGCAAAGTAATCTCAGATCAAACAAGGTGTTATACAACTATCCTCTCCATTACTGAATGTTTCCTGACTTCAGCGTTAAGACTTCAGCTTGAACTTCTTGAGTGTTTTTCTTTCCTGATCTTTTTACTATAAAGCAGCTTTGTGTTTGGCCTGGCCAATAAGATTTCAGAATCTTATTCAGAAAGCATTTTAATTTTTTTAGTTTGTTTTTATTTAATGTATATGAGTGTTATGCCTGCATGTGTTTAAGTGCACTGGTGTCTTGCAGTGCCCTTGGAGGACAGAAGAGGGTGTTGGATCTCCTGGAACTGGAGTTACAAGGGGTTTTAGCTACCATGTGAGTGCTGGGATTTGAACCCCGGTCTTCTGCAAGAACAGCCAGTGCTCTTAACTGCTGAGCCATCTCTCCAGTCCCTCTGAAAGCATTTTAAAATCAAAATACTGAGATTTTTAAAAGTCCAATTGTTGGTTGGAGCTGGAGAGATGGCTCAGAGGTTAAGAGCACTGGCTGCTCTTGTAGAGGACTCAAGTTCGGTTCTCAGCACCCATATGGTGACTAACAACCGTCCATAACTCCAGTTTCAGGGGATCCAATGCCCTCTTCTGACTTCCTTGGACATTGAAGGACATGGCACACCACATAATGCAAGCAATACACTCGTACACATTAAAAAAAAAAAAGCCCAAATGTCTTCCTTCAAAAGTAAATGTGGAAAAAAAAAAGTAGTCAAAACAGCTGAATATGTATATAAATCCAGAAGACTGTTATTAGAGTACTGAGAATTAGCTCTCCCTATCTGTAACTCTTATACCCCAACTGCCTACAAACTAACAAATTGTTGAACTGAAATGGCCACAAATTCAGTCACATGCAAAATTTTAACACCTTTATTATTGTCATCATAATTAAGGGAGAAATATTTCTCATCTGAGTCTGTGTGCACTAAACTGATCTTGTAATCACAAACATGTGAACTTATCTCCACGTATTCATCATCTACTTTCTAATGACTAATAAGCTGATTTTCATTCCATTTAATTTTTTATTGACTGTGAATTTCATACATATTTAGATCCCTTCCCCCATAGAGTCAGATTTGTGTCCCCAAATGCCCTCCAGTGTGGATTTGCCCACTGGAGCCTGGTCAACCTAAGAGTCTCAGCCTTAAACTTGACTGACTGTCCCCCTCCCAGAAGCCATCAGTTGCTAATATTTTCTCAGAGAGGGTTGGGGTCTCTTCCCCACTTTCCCCCGTCTATGCTGGGATTTTGTCTGGCCTGAGTTTAGGTGTCACTTGTGCATGCTGTTAGCATTGCTATAAGTTCATATGAGTAACTACCCAGCTGTCTGGAACACTGTTTCCTTGTGGTTATGTTTCCACCCCCTCTTTCACAATGATCTCTAAGCCCAGGGAGGCAGAAGTTTGATACAGGTGTCCTATTCAGGGACGAGCAGTCTGCAGCCTCTTGTTCTCTGCACATATGACCAATCATCTTGATGCTATCATTACTTCAAACACAAGAAAATGTTAGTGGTTCTGACCTGAATTTTATCTGGACAGAATTTTAAAATACTGATGTCCTTGGTCATAAGTCTAACTAATTCAACCAAGATCACTAGGGGTAGAATCTTATCCTTAGAATTTTCTAAAGCTTCAGGGTGATTCTAATGGATAACCAAGGTGGTAGTCATGATTTAAGAAACTCTGATCGCTAAACATAGTCACAATTGGGCTTGTTGACAGTTGTGCTTTTTCATTAAAGAAGTGCCAAGCAGGGTCACAGGACCTCAGCCACTCTTCCCAGCCAACTAGTCCAGCCTTGGAAGACAAAAGAAAAATGAGGAGGAACCCAATAGAGGGATGCTTTTGGAAGCTCTTGTCAAGAAGCTCCAATGGACTCTCACATGAACATTTGAAAATTGCCCCGTTCTGACTTTTTTCTAGTTCCCTGTCTAGAACTTGTAATGCTAATTACTCTTGCCTTTACTTCTCCTTCACATCTCCCATTCATGATTCAAGGACTTTCTTCTCCCCTTAGAGACAAGAGTTATGCAATTTGGGAGACTTTTAGATAGACCCACTGAAGGAGTACTCCAATTGCCTCACCCTGTGTCCCTGTTCAGCATGGAAGAAGCCAGAGTGGTTGGTGTCCCTGTTCCCTATTGGCAATCTAGGTAACCCCTTCAGAGGATGGCATGATAAGAATAGGAGGAAGGAATTGGCTAGGCGGTTAGAGTAAAAAGGCCCCAAAGAAATGAAGCCAGTTGCTTGGCTAAAAGTCAGTATGTCCTTCAGCCTGTTAGCAACATACTCTGTTCCAAGGTCAAAAATGTCAAAACTATTTGGGAGCTTGTATTTTAAGTTTACCTCTTCAGAGAGGGGAATGTTGGAGGGGAGGGAGTGGGCATGGATTTGATCAAAACACCTTATTATGAGGAGCAGAGGCAAAACACTCAAGTGAAATTCGTAACATTGCTGCCCCACATCTATTTTTAGGTGTTTCGACATGGAGACCGAAGCCCCATTGACACCTTTCCCAATGATCCTATTAAGGAAGCCTCATGGCCACAAGGATTTGGACAGCTCACACAGGTTGGTTTGATTTTGGTATTGTTTTTTGTTTGGCTGATTTTGTATTTTTGAGACAGGGTTTCACTACTCCAAGCTACCCTTGAACTCCCTAAGTAGTCAAAAATGACCTTGAACTCCTGATCCTCCTGCCTCTACCCCTGAAGTGGAGGGACTACAGGTGTGTGCCACCGCACTCAGCTTTGGGTTGTCTTTTGACTGAAGGTTGTTGATGAGTCTCTAGGGAAAATGTGCATAGAATTTTCCATTTTAATGTTTTTACCCTGTTGGCTGTATTTAAGTTTGAGAGATTTCAGGGATTTCCATGGACAGCAGAAGATTATAAGCTTAGAAATTAGGTGGTTGGGGGGAGAAGAGAGGAGAGGAGAAGAGAGGAGAGGGGAGGGGAGGGGAGGGGAGGGGGGAGGGGAGAGAAGAAAAGAAAAAAGAAAAGAAAGGAAAGAAACTTAGAAACAGGCCCCTGAACTTTTTAGGCTCTGCCTGAGGAAGTTAAAAAAAAATCTTACAATCAATTAGCTAAATCTGCAGGTTGAGGAAATATGATTCCTAAGAAGTGATACCAGAATTACATTTCTTTTTAGCTAGATATATTGGAAATGAATGTTCTTTATAAGTAGCCAGTCAAATACAAGAAGCCTACTTCCTAGAGAGGATCTAAAGAGATGTGAACTGGGGCGCAAAGACATCTTTATCACTGCTCAGGGACTCTTCTGTTCAGAGCAGCTAAAGAACAGGTGCATTGTTTGTGCCCTGACCAAATGACTGTTGAAGCATTTCAAAAAGATGCCACAGAGTGTTGAGTTGGATGTCTGTAAAACTAATTGGTCTTAATCTTGCCAAACAATAGAAATTATTGGAGACATTTTTTAAAATGCAACATCTTATTTAATTGGCACGGGGTTTGGTTTGGGCATTGGGATTTTTAGAAGCTCCTCAGTTAATCATTTTAATGTTCAGCTGATGCTGAGAATAACTGCTGTAAGCAACCATTAGGTTTCGTGGAAGTTAAAACTCAGAGAAGCTGTGTGAAGCCAGCATTTTCTGCTTCTCAGGTCAGAGCCCTTCCCACCATAGCCTATCCGTCTTTCCCTCTAATGAAAGAAGGTTACAAAAAGTCATGTATTTTTTTCTTAGCACAAATCTTTTGAGTAGCCACCAGATTCCAAAAGTCAGCTGTAAGTTAGACTGCAATTAGACACAAACTATGTGCTTCTTCAGGTACCCAGACCATGGTGCAGCGTTCCTTCCTCATGGTCATCATCTTTCATGAGAGATGATAATAGAGATGCTTCAGCATGACAAGCAAATGAGCAAGTGTGAGCAAGTAGCAGCCCCCAGGACTGCATGCTCTGTGATTCTGAAACTTTGGTGAGGGTCTACATTAAAGGCAAACCTGAATCCAAAGCGTGGCACGCAGCTCCCTGCATCTGAATCATTGGGGGGGATTACTTGTTAAAATGCAGATTCCAGGGCCCCACCAAGGATATAATGAGCTAGAATTGTAGGAGAAGATGCCAAGGAACCTGCATTGCAACAAGTGCCACTAGAAACTTTTATTTTGATGCACACCAGTGCTTCAGGGTAACTGAACCAAGACAGTACGTCTCAATGATTCCTGTCCACCAGACTCTTTTGGAGAGCTTGTTAAAAACAGATTCTTGAACCCCACTCCTGAAGTTTCTATCTTGCAAGTATTTGATTTCTACCATGCTCACAAGTGATGCCAACTCTGCTAACCCACAGACCACATTTTGAGTAGTAAGGTCTAATTATGGCTAGTCATAAATAAGCTGTAAGGATAATAAATCATTCATTTCACCCAAAGGTTGAAAGGGGCCATCAGCTTCATCAAGCCCAGTTTCATCAGATGATGAGTTTCACAAAATCCCTACCAAGTGGTCAACTAATCACTTTGAATGTTCCGCCCACAAGGACACAACTACCACACCAGAGATGAGTCCTTTACTTAAGTCAGATCAAATACCAACTATCAACTGGGCAGTTAATACACACAAGCCTCTATATTAAGTGCTACCGAAGATAAATAGGAGTTCTTAGAGGTTCAGGGAGCTTCTTCTAAAGACATCTGTTCTCTCTTGTCTTTATTTAAATAGGTGTTTCTATTGAGGAGCTGTGAAGCATACCTTATTCACGCTACACGTAATGAGGAGAGGCAGGACAAATTTCTATGGAATATGTACTTTCTCTGATTTTCACTTTGATTTTTTTTCTATAGCTGGGCATGGAGCAGCATTATGAACTTGGAAGTTATATAAGGAAAAGATATGGAAAATTCTTGAATGAGTCCTATAAACATGATCAGGCAAGTTGGGGAACCAAGACTATGAACCTTGACCTTTGAAAGAATTAAAATAATACATACAAAATAATACATGCAAATGCTCTGCTTATTTTCTGAGGCACTTATACAAATCAGAGATCTTGTTTAAAGATATACTCCTCCTTATAGGATTATTTTTTCCAAAAAATGTATGAATATTAGTAATCCTCTATAGGATTATTTTTTCCAAAAAATGTATGAATATTAGAGAGTTCAAGTTTTTATGGATACTTCTGTCAATACTTCTGCTTAATTGGTTTCATTGACCAAATCAACTATTGGCCTACCAGGTTGCTTTGTCACACTGGATTCGCATATTTTCCATCTCCTTGACAGATGTTATAATGCTTCCACAATGTCTGCTGACATTTTAGTGTTCCTGTCCTGCTCTTTCTCTAACACTCTGTTGGCCCCTCCAAAAGAAAACTCCCAGTTTCCTCTAATTTGACTTCTGCTTTGATTTTCCCTGTCTAGGTGTACATTCGAAGCACAGATTATGACCGGACTTTGATGAGTGCAATGACAAACCTTGCAGCCCTGTTTCCCCCAGAGGGTATCAGCATCTGGAATCCCAGCCTGCCCTGGCAGCCTATCCCAGTGCATACAGTGTCTCTCTCTGAAGATCGGGTCAGTATCCTGGGCAATGTTGGAGATTCCACATGAGCCTGGAAGCGGGAAGGCAGGCTTCTCAGGACTTGGAGATTTAGGCATCTGGACATGCGGAATGACTAAAAAGCAAGAGTAGAAGTTGACTGTTTCTTTGGATCTACTTTGTTTTGCCACCTGAGCTACTAGACACACACACACCTCCTAGTGATCTGCCTTCAAGTCCCAAGCCTTGAATACTCAACACTGTCTCCCTGTAGTCCCAGCTGGCCTGGAACTCACTATGTAGACCAGGCTGGCCTTGAATTCACAGAGATCTGCCTACCTCTGCCTCCCGAGTGCTGGGACTAAAGGCATGTGCCACCACACCTGGCTTACCACAGTCTTTTCTAGAAAGACTAGATAGCAATATCAAACATAGCCAGTGTAGACCAAAAGAGATACTCAACGTGTAATCCAGAAAGACAGAGATAAAGACTAGATAGCAATATCAAACATAGCCAGTGTAGACCAAAGGAGATACTCAACCTGTAATCCAGAAAGACAGAGATAAAGACTAGATAGCAATATCAAACATAGCCAGTGTAGACCAAAGGAGATACTCAACCTGTAATCCAGAAAGACAGAGATAAAGACTAGATAGCAATATCAAACATAGCCAGTGTAGACCAAAGGAGATACTCAACCTGTAATCCAGAAAGATAGAAATTGAATTATATAATAAAGAGAACACTGATGCTATTAGAAGAAAAAAAGGAAATGGAGAGTGAGGGAGATGGTAAGAGAAACAAAATTATCTACCAATAGTTCCTGGCTACCTTCTCATTAAGGCAAACAAAATTCTCTTGTCAGTTAAAAAGTCTAACACAGAGCTGGGCTGGAGAGATGGTTCAGTGGTTAAGAGCACTGGCTGTTCTTGCAGAAGACTCGGGTTTGAATCCTAGGACCCACATGGCACCTAACAACCATCCAGAACTCCACTTCCCAGGGGATCCAACACCTTCTTCTGTCCTCTGAGGGCAATGCATGATATGGGTGCGCTTACATACACACAGCCAATACATGCATACACATAAAATACAGATAATAAATAAAAATATTTTTTAAAAAGAAGTCTAGCAGCCGGGCGTGGTGGCGCACACCTGTAGTCCCAGCACTCGGGAGGCAGAGGCAGGCTGTGAGTTCAAGGCTAGCCTGGTCTACATAGTGAATTCCAGGACAGCTGGGTCCTGGGGCTACAAGGAGACCCTGCTTCAAAAATACAAAAAAAAAAAAAAAAAAAGTCTAGCACCAGTTTAAATGACTAATGCTAGGTTATTCTCAGAGCTGTCGTAGGTGATGAAAGAAATTTGTATGCATCAACATGTAGACATGATACCAGGTGATGGTCAACGATCTCAATATAAGCTCCAGATACTGAAGGAGTTCAGAAAGAGGCCTTCATGCAGCTACCACAGGACGGGGATCCAAGGCTTCACAGAGAGTGAGAGCGTGTACTAGACCTCTGAGTTCAGAAAGGAGAGAGATGAAGCGTGCATTCATCCATGTTACATATGTGTGATAAGCAGTGTGTTGAGGCCTTGGCCTGACAGTGGCTTAGAGGGGAAAGGCATGGGAGTCTCAGAGATTAATTGCTGATGTAATTCAGGAATGAGGAAATGAAGAGCAGAAATGACATAGTCGGAAAGAGGAAAGCAAGCCATGTCCAGGCGGCACACAGAATCAGAAATGACAGACAAGAAACAACTTATGAATGTCTTCTGAGTAGTTAGCTGCTAATCTGCCATCTTTGTTCTAGTCCTTCACCATATGGCAGTGAACAAGAGGCTGCTGTGCTTGAGACTTATATCTTATAAGAAATAGACAATAAAGAAGTTTATCGATAAAATGAGTTCAGATGGTGATACGTTCATTGAAGGAAGGGAGTAAATCAATATGATTAGTGACTGGGGCACGGTAGCTGGGAAACTATGGTGGGACCCAGGGACGGGGTCATGCCATGCAAAGTCCCCGAGCCTGTGTGTTCAAGGGTCAGCAAGAAGGCCTGCCGTGTTCCTGGAGAGCAGAGTCTGAGAAGACACAGCAGTAAGGGAGGAGGACAGAGTGTTTACTACCATTTACTAGGTGAAAGTTAGAGCAACAGAACAAACTCGTGAGTCATCAAATGTACATTAGAGCTAAAACTAAGAGAGATTGTGAGACTTACACTCATTTTAGGAGGCTCTTTTATCCTCCTAATAGATTTTTAATTATATTTTCCATACATTTAATACATACCCTTTTGTTGACAGTCTGCAGATTTGCAAGAACTGAAGTCAGCAAATAGTTGATCCCTTTAAGACTGTTTTCAAAACCTCTCATTTGTTTCGTTTTACTCCTAGGAAAGAGGGGCACACACCCAAATGTGCACTTAGCACCAGAAATCAAGGGTTGGGGGCAGAGGAAGTAAAATAACAGTTATTCACATGGAAAATGAGCAAGTGTGGTGGCTGGAGAGATGGTTCCATGGTTAAGAGCACTGACTGCTCTTGCAGAGGACCGGGGATCAGATCAATTCCCAGTACCCACATGGCAGCTACGAACTGTCCTTAACTCCAGTTCCAGGGGAATCTGACACCCTCTTCTGACCTCCACAGCATTGCACGACACAGGTGCACTCACATACATGCAGGCAATACACTCATACGCATAAAATAAAAATAATAAATAAAATATTTTTAAAAATTAAAATTAAAAAAATTAATGAGCAAATATGAATATTTATGCTTGCTCTGCAAGCAACTTCTTGAAGGGAAAAAAAAAGAAATCATGTTTTCGCATCTGAGAACATGTCCTATTGAATATTTTAAGACCAGAAGACCATTTGCCCTGTTCCCTCAAATTTTAGAATTTCCGTTCCGTCTAGAGGACACTTCGATCTTTTAGGGCTGCTTTAGACCTAATAAGGCTTAAAGTATTGGCATCACTTTGCCAAAGCTCTTCAGACAGATCAAAGTCTTATGATTTTTCTTTTGTCCCCAGTTGCTCTACCTGCCTTTCAGGAACTGCCCTCGTTTTCAAGAACTGCAGAGTGAGACTTTGAAATCCCAGGAATTCCAGAAGAGACTTCATCCATACAAAGTTAGTAATGTCATCTACTGGTATACTGAGTATGAGGGCCTGGACGAAGGACAAAGCCTGGACTTGTTGAAAGAAGTGTGGGATAAATGTGTCTGTTAGTGGTTCGTTATGGCAATGGGTAGGATATTTAATGAGGGCAGTCATCAAACCTGATCCCTTCCCTGCGTGGCAGCCACCAGCCAGTACAGAAACCAGTCCCTTTCCAATCCTTTACCCATGTCCCTGCACATACCAGGTGAGTGGAAATGAATACAAGTCTGAGATTGCTTTTTTTATTGAGGCTTTATATGGCTCTTGTCCTCCTCTATACAGGATATTGGGAGTTTTAATATTTTTATTTATTATTTTTATTTTATGTGTATGAGTGTATTGCCTGCATGTATGTAAGTGCACCTGTGTCATGCAGTGCCCATGGAGGTCAGAAGAGGACATTGGATTCTCTGGAACCAGAGTTACAGATGGTTATTAGCCACCACATGGGTGCTGGGAACCAAACCTGGGTCCTCTGCAAGAGCAGTCAGTGCTTTTAACCACTGAGCCATTTCTCCAGCCCCCAGGATATTGGTTTGTTTGTTTGTTTTTTCTTTTGTGAAATAGTCCCTTTTTAAGACTGCACAAAAACCAGGCATGAGGCTTAATGATTTTTTTTTAAATAACCATTTGAACCAGTTATATAAGGTCTAAAAATGAGAAAACATAAGTAAACTACAGTGAAATATAGTGGTCTCTCAGTAACTCCACAGGTAATATTTTCTTTGTAATCTTCAGTTTTTTATGCATATTCAAACTAATACAAGAAGTATATTCTGTTAGCTTCCCCTTTTGTTATACAACGGTGATATACCATCCATGTTGCTGGGCACTGGGCTTTTGGGGGTTTTTTGTGTGTGTGTGTATGCTTGTATTGCCTGCATATAGCTAAGTGCACCTGTGTTGTGCAATGCCCACGGAGGTCAGAAGAGGCTGTCGGATCCCCTGAGACTGGAGTTGTTATAGACAGTTGTTAGCTGTCATGTGGGTGCTGGGATTCGAACCCTGGTCTTCTGCAAGAACAACCAGTGTTCTTAACCACTGAACCATCTCTCCAGCGCCTGGGCCCTGTTTTTTTAATTTAATAAAACATCTTGGAACTATTTTTTAAATCTATATGTAAAGTGTTTCCTTGTGTTTTTTGTTTTCAAAAGTGCAGTGTGTGCGTTTATGGACATACCACAACTTATTTTAATCAGCCCCTATTGAGAGAAATGTGGATCATTTCCCCCCCCCCCTTTTTTTTTTTTTTGAGACAGGGTTTTACTTGGCCTATAACTCATTTTTGGATTTAGGAGGGCAGAAAAAGGAAGGAGTTTAAAGTTTAGAAATAAGAGTCAGAGCCAGACCCGCAACAGGCAAGGAATGAGTTCCCTTGATTCAGAAAACCCAGCAAAGGCTGACAGCCCTTTCTCAAGGAATGATTATCTGCAATGAAATGGGGAGAGTCTAGACTTATGTAGGACTCTGCTGCACACAGCTGCAAGAATTAACTCCGCCAGGGTCTGGTGTCCTTGAGGGGCTCTTCTCCCAAGATTATTTGCTCAGGCAGGTGAATTATCTATAGCACTAAACAAGACAGGTGATCCATAAACAGTCTCTTTCAGTCTAAGGAGTGACAGGTTGCTAAGGCTTGAGCAAGGCCAGGCTGCCAATTTAGGGCCGGTTAGACACTTTAAGGGATTTATGGCTTTTCATAATAAGGCTTGTGGCTTTTCTGCAATTCACACATTCTATCCCTCACTATTGTAGGCCAGGCTGATTTTGAACTAACAGAGATCTGCCTGCCTGCCTCTGCCTCCTGGGTGCTAGGATTAAAGGTATGTACCACCACATTCTGTTCTGATCTTTTTTATTTTTATATTACGCCCCCCAGAAGACTCTCCAATCGCTGCATCACTATTTTTTGTCTAGTTTACCTTATCTCATTATTTTGAGCTGTTGCATATTAAAATTTTCTTATGCATGGAGCCCATTCCTGGTATTTATATTCTTCTCCATTGTTCTTATTAGCCAAACCTGCTTTTGATTATTAAAACTTTATAATGTATTTTAATACCTAAGGTGCTGGCCACCTGTCATTCCTGTTCTCTAACCTTCATGACTCTATTTGTAGTTTCTCTGTGAACTGTAGAATCAGCTAGTCTGGTTTAATTTTTGTTTGTTTTATTTATTTTTATTTTATGTGTGTGAGTATTTTATCTTGTGCCTGCGTGTATGTAAGTGCACCCGTGTATGCAGTGCCTGCAGAGGACAGAAGAAGGCATTGGATTCCCTGGAACTGGAGTTACAGACAGTTGTTAACCATCATGTGGGTGCCGGAAATCAAACCTGGCTCCTCTCCAAGAGCAGCCAGCGCTCTTAACCGTTGCATCATATCTCTAGCTCCTAAAATTTTGAACTTTTTCATATTCTTATTGAGGTAATATTAAATTTATGTAAAGTTAGGGAGGCTCTGTAACCATTCAATGTAAATCTTCCTTTTCAAAAATGTGATCTCCTCAAAGCCAGGTATGGTGATGCATGCCTTTAATCCCAGCACTTAGGAGGCAGAGGCAAGAGGATCTCTTGTGAGTTCAAGGCCAGCCTGGTCTACACAGTAAGTTCCAGGCCAGCTGGGGCTATAGGGAGACGCTGTCTCAAAAAAAAAAAAAAAAAAAGTGATCTCCTAACTTGTTCTTATCTTAGAGAACCTTTTTGTCATGAGTCTTTATGTTTTATGCTTTTCAATGTTTGTTCTAGGTTTATGATCTGTAAATAGGCTTATCTCTAGTTTCCCGGTGTCTACACCTCTGACTTTTTTCTCTTTTGCCTACTTGTTTTAACTAGTACTTGCCACACAACATTACAGTGTTGGCCATGGGCGCTCTTGCCTTATTCCCAGCTTCAGATACTTTCTCTTGTTGAGTATGCTAACTTTTCACCCAAAACATAGTACTTAGACTTTTATTTTTTTAAAGATTTATTTATTATTAGGTGTATATATGTGTGTAGCTGAGTGTATGTATGTGCACCGTGTGTGTAGGTACCTGTGGAGGCCAGAAAAGGACATTAGATCCTCTGGAGCCTAAGTTACAGGCAGTTGGTTGTGAGCCACCTGATATGGGTGCTGAGAACTGAACTAGGGTTCTGTGTGAGAGCTAGTGCTCTTAACGCTGAGTCATCCCTCCAGCACCAGTAGTTATATTTTTATTAAGTCAAAGATCCAATCACTAGGTATGGTGACAGCACATCTGTAATCCCAACACCCAGGAGGCAAAGGCAGCAAGATTGTCATACATTCAAGACCAGCCTGGGCTACACAGAGAATTCTAGGCTACATACTGAGACCCGTCTCAAAACAAAAGTATCCACCTGTCTTATTTTCTTGAGTATTTTTATTTTTTCTTTTATTTTTTTTAAATGTGTATGAGTGTATCGCCTGCATATGTGTGAGTGCACCCATGCCGTGTTGTGCAGTGCCCAAAGAGGTCAGAAGAAAATGTCGGATCCCCTGGAACTGGAGTTACAGATGGTTGTTAGCCACCATGTAGGTGCTGGAAATAAAACCTGGGTCCTCTGCAAGAGCTATCGGTGCTCTCAACTGCTGAGCCATCTCTCCAGCCCCATCTTAAGTATTTTAAAAAATCAGTTGATTACTTAATTCTTTGAGTGATCGTTTTAAAAATATAATCAAGTTATTTTCCTCCTTAGATCAACTACTGTGATTAATTATATTTATAGATCTATTAAAGTTGATCTTTACATTTCTCTTTACAAATCAACTCCTTTTCCTTTCATATGAAATTGAATTATTTACCAACATGTAATGCTTTGTATTGATATTTACAAGTGACATTGAACTACAGTTGTAGTTTCTGAGCAGTCTTTGTCAGTATAGATGTTATATCTAACACATAAAATCTTTGAAAGTTTCCTCTTTTTCTAAATATTCTTGAACTATGAAAACAGCATTAGAATAATTTACACCTGAAGAGCCTCAAAGAAATCATCTGGCTCTGGAGGGGTTTTTTTTGTTTTGTTTTGTTTTGTTTTTTTGCTTGCTTTATTTTTTTAAAGCTTGAGGTCAATTTTATCAGCATTTAAAAGAAAACCCCTAGGGTAGGCAAGCTGTAAATACCAGCAGCTGCTGGGAAGGGGAGGCTGGAGGAGACGAAAAAAGCCATACCATTTAAGCCGGCCAGGAAGGGAGACACGGGATGGACTAGCAGCCATGTGCTGGGAAGGGGAGCTTTAGGGAGAAAGTAAAGAAACCCAATTGTGGGGAAGCCCAAAGTGTTAAGGAAAGCATGCTTAGAAAAGAGATAGAAGAAAAGTAGAGGTTATGCTTTTGAGGAATTAAGAAAAGCAGGTCGATTTACAAACCAGCATGGCTGTGCTCTGTAAGAAACCTCACCAGGGGGTAGAAATTTGGGAAGGAAAAGCACAGTATTTCACCAAAGGAAAAATTATTCAGCCTATCTCTGTGGCATGGCTTAAGGTAAGCCCACCTTCCTAGGGGCGATCCCTTGGCCAGGTGATTACCCTGACCCCGCTGGAATTTTGGGTCTCTACCGAGTCAGAAATTATTTTATTCTCTTGACCAGAAGGAGTTTTTTTTTCTTGATGTTTTCCTGGAATTTTTAATGTTTGGAGTAGAGAGAATGAGAATCACTTCCCATGTCTGGGGGCGGGGGTGGGGTGCAGATGTTCGTGTGTATTTGTGCGTGAGTGCCCATGGCATGTGGAGCCCAGTGTCACTCCTTAGGAGCCATCCACCTTGCTTTTGGAGACAGGATCTCTATCTGGGAACTAGAACTCACCCATTTGGCTAGACTGGCTGACCAGAAATCCCCAGGAATCCTCCTGTCTCTGCCTGCCCAGTACTGGGATCACAAGCTCTGTCACCAAGCAAGGCTTTTTCCATGAATGCTAAGGATCTAACTCGTGTTTGTACTTTCCCAACTGAGCTATCTTCTCGGTCCTAGAAATGGGAGTCTCTTTAACAATTATCTGTTTATTTTATAGGAGTCTATTAAGGTTAATATTGGAAAGTTGTGATTTCCTGAAATGTATCCATCAGACAAACTATCTTCCAAAAGTCTTCCTAGAAATCACCCCGTTTCAGCAGCCAGATAGCTGAACCTGCATCTCATTATGATAACATAGAACCTTCCAGTAAAATGCTTGCACTCATCTAGGCCTCATATTTATAGCCAGAAACCAGATCCCGGTTCTGCTGTGCTTTCCCAAGATGCTTTGCCCTGAGATAATCTTTCTCTTCTTAACCGCGGACACTTATTTGCATATGTTATGCATTTTCCACTTCTAAAAAGAATCTCATTCAACTCTGACCAGGAACGGCAGGGGTCAGCCAGCAAGGGTCTGCGTTTTTAATGTACTAGTGAGAAGGAGGACTCCTGTCTTCAGTTGCCTTCAGTGTCTTATTGTCGCCAGTATGTCTGGCTGCACTTTGCTGTGACAGATATCAAAATCTGTGGAGGATGAAAGGGTCTCACGCTGAAATATTTTCCCTTCTATTTGTGTTCCAGGATTTTATAGAAACCTTGCCATCACTTTCAGGATTCCCTGGCCAGGATCTTTTCGGAATTTGGAGTAAGGTCTACGATCCTTTATATTGTGAGGTAAAAAAAATAAAAATAAAAAATAAAAATTTAAAATATATATATATATATCAAAGATTCGTTTGCCATCTGGTTTTATGATTTAATGCCTATTTTGAATCAGACAAATTTACTTTCTTTTTTAAAATGTATTGCTTGTCTGTCCTTAGACTTTGAAACGCAATTCAACTTTTTTAAAAAAAAAATTTATTTACTTTTATTTTATGTGTATGCATTTATTGTCTGAATGTAGGTAAGTGCACCTGTGTCATACCCACGGAGGTCAGAAGAGGCCGTCATATCCCCTGGGACTGGAGTTATGGACAGTTGTTAGCTGCCATGTGGGTGCTGGGATTCGAACCCAGGTCTTCTGCAAGAACAACCAGTGTTCTTAACTGCTGAGCCATCTCTCCAGCCCCAAGTTTTCCTTTTTTTTTTTTTTTTTAGACTGACTCTCCCTGTAGCCCAACTGTCCTGGAACTCACTATGTAGACCAGGCTGGCTCATTGTCACAGAGATCTGCCTACCTCTGCTTCCGGAGTGCTGGGACTAAAGGTGTGTGCCACCATGCCCAGCTAAGATTTCCTTATATAAGGAAATATACATATATATATATATATTTCCAAAATCTTGATTTCCCTTTTTTTAACCCATTATTAATGCTTTCACCTTTTAGAAAACTGCAAACAAAACTTTTTCTTCTATCTGTTGCCGCTCATTAATTTAAGTCTTTCAGGAATGCCTGGTTTTTGTCATTGGTTTTAATTTTTAAAAAGCAATGTTGTTATACATGCAAAGTTGCTCTGTTTCTGGATATTGACATAAACCAGCCAACTGTAATGTAAGTCAGACTGTCAGACATGGCTCAGGAGAAAAGAACTCTTCTGTGCAGTGCATTTGGGATCAGCTCAGAAGCTGAGTAAGGCGCTGGCTTTTCTGTGCTGTGTGCCGATCGTCATTCTCCAGGCTCCCCCTTCTGGCCAAAGCAGTAACTTCTATTCCTGTTTTCTAAACCGGATCACTAAATTCTATGGCAGAACTCTGACCAGTGCACGCATCATACCCACTTCAGCTCAGAGATCATCACAAATATGTGGGGCAGGAGTTACCTCCTAGGTCTGTCTGGGTGACAGATGACTCCATTCGCCCCATCCTGTGATAGTCAGGTGATCCAATCATGCTATTCTCTGCATTTTCTCTTTATCTTCAGATCTGTTTCAATGAACATGTTTTCTTAGCTTTATGAAAGGCTCTTCGGTGGAGACAAGAACCAGCCTTTTAGTTCTGGGCTTCATTTCTATTTTTTTCTTTACTACAGCTGTCTGTTGGTTCCTTTGTTTGTTCTGGAGATTAGGCCCAGGACACAGTGCATGCTATATCCTACATCTGAGCTGTGCCTCAGCAACCTCATCCAGCTTGACCTGAGCTGTTCTGTGATAAGGCCGTGTTATGTGGGATTGTTCTGTGTCTCTCCCGCTTCTTTCTTCTGTACTGATTTACTTTTCTCGGCTCTTTCACAATCCTCCTCTAATCCCTCCCTCTTCCTCCTCCCTCTTCTCCCACTTTTGAAACTAGGGGGATCTTAATCACCTTTTCCTAATAGGTAATAAATATTGGCACAAGGTCAGTCCCTACCCTGCTTACAGCTTGTTGATCCACTTAACATTTACCAAATACTTACTGTGCACAGGGTACAAGCATTCCCCGAGTCAGTGAACTAGAGGTTCATAGCATATTTGTGGAAACTCCAGAAATATATGGCCTTCTGTAACTGGCCTATTAAACAAGTCCTGCTTTTTAGGACACACCACTCAATCCTGTAAGCCTTTACCTTCCTCACAGGTTCATAAAAACATTTCTAAGCCTATCATAAAAGAATGAGGTACAGCCTTACTCTGTGACATCATTACTCTGTAAAATTTGAATTATGCATTGATCCAGAGTTAAGCCAAAAGCTATGGGCTTTGTAAGAAGGGGGAAATTATTTCTGTAAGTTTCTTTCTAAAAACCGGTATTACTAATTTATGCAAATTCTTAGAAAGATACAGTAGGATCAGAAAGACTGCCTGGCCGTAGGAGCTCATGGGGTGCAAAGGAGAAGTAGTAAGCATGCACACATTCTCCTCCTTTCTCTTTGCTGCAGGACGTTCACAATTTCACTTTACCATTCTGGGCCACGGAGGACACCATGGCTAAGTTGAGAAAATTATCAGAATTATCTCTGCTATCTCTCTATGGAATTCACAAGCAGAAAGAGAAATCTAGGCTCCAGGGGGGTAAGTATTTTTAAAATGAGCAAAGAGGGGCTGGAGAGATGAATCAGAGGTTAAGAACACTTACTGTTCTTCCAGAGGACCCAGGTTTGGTTCCCAACACCCACATGGCAGCTAACAACCACCTGTAACTCCAGTTCCAGGGGATCCTGTGTCCTCTTCTGGCCTCTGTGGGCATTGCATGACACAAAGGTGCACTTACATGCTTGTAGGCAATACATTCATACACATAAAATACACATAAATAAAATATTTTCCCAAAAACTAATTGCAATAAAACTTTATAAATAATTTAATTTTTAAAGCTGAGAGAAGAATGTTGAATTTGTGGTTGAATAATTGAGTCTGAGCTCCAATTTTATCATCAACCCACTGACTGGACTTACACAGGTCACTGTTATCTTACCATTCCTCTTCTATAAAGTGGGTATTAGAAGAACAACTATGTCATAGATAGTAAAGATTAAAATGAATGTAGGAAAGGCTTAGAACAAACAGTATCTGGTATGTAACACACTGTATAATAACTGTTACTATAAAGTATCAGTATTGCCCACCTCAGGCATAAATTTTTTTCTTCTGGAAATGAAAGTTTAGGGCCTAAAGTCAAATGGTCCTTTCCATCTCTTCCAGTTGAAACAATCAGCAATTTATGTCTGGGTTCCAGAAAAATTTATTGTGTCTGGTAACCTACATGATGAATTTTGCAAGCGAGAAGTTTGATAAAAGCTTGACATATTTTGTAAGACTAACTAAACGACAAATTTATAACACATGAATTTTTCCATTAGTATTGAAGGATGTTGAGATATTTATCAAAGATGTCTCTTCACAGTTAGAGTCAGCCCTTTGTAGTGTTTGACACCTACTCATCATGAAGATGAACCCAGGTAGGAGGATGCTGAGTCCTTGCAATCAGGATAGGGGAATCGAAGGAAGAACCCAGGGACAGGAAGAATGGGCTAGATGCTGAGGCCTGCAAGGATACCCGAGGAGTGGACCAAAATACCAAATAGAGTGTAAGGCTCAATGTGGTTAATATAGACACTAAAACTGAATATAAACATCAGGAGAAGGTCTTGTGTCAACAGTTGAACTAGTGAAGACAATTCAGTCAGACTGTCACATAATCTAAACATTTTGAGGAAAGTAGGCCAATTATATCAGGATTCTGGTCGCTGTTAGATGTTGTTCACCAGTCAATCAAGACAAGTCCATCAGAACCCCAAGAGAATGCATAGAGGCAAAGAATTGTGGGGATTGGACCAGACTGAAAGGATGCCCACTCAGGACTTTATAACTAAGTAAAGAACTCAAATCAGAGGAGGAAGCAATCGCAGCTAGAAAAGTAGGGTTGCATGTCAACGGTTACCAGGAGAACAGCTAATGAGATACAAAACCAGGGAGATCAGGAGCAAATTCATATGAGATGAACAAAGTAAGGTTGGAGCTCATGATTCAGGACATTGGTCATTAAGGACGTGGGGGGCTGCAGACCTGCTGTGGCAGAAGTCCTAGTTGCACAGCACAGAGGGAGACCTAATGGAAGTATTCAAGTTCCCTCTCTACACTAAGGGCAAAAGTCCAGCCAGCGAGGAAGGCAGCACATCAATGAGTCCTAAATGAGACTCATTGAGTCTTATCTCTAAATGAGTCCTAGATGGAACACGTGGTGTGTTGGGAAATTCACCAAGCAAGATACAGACTGTGCGTAGAAGCAGGGAAGCAACTTACTCCTGAGGACTTTACATCAAAAGACACAGAGTACCTCATTGGCCATGTAAGCAGCTGGTCTCATTTCTAGCCCAGCAGACACCAGCAGTATGGCTCAGTCCCAAGCCCCAGCAGAAGGTGAAGCTGAAGTTCTTGATTTGTTTCCTCAACCACATCATTGATAGATTCAGGAATATAGCCCCTTACTATTCAGAGCACAGCCTGCAGCATCAGCTTCCCCCAGAAACCGGCTAGAAATGCAGACTCTCGCCTCCCCCCCCCACACCTGTTGAACCAAAATCTACATTTTAATGGAATCCCAGGCATGCTTTGTAGCAGACAGGAGTTAACAGAAGTTCAGTACTACTTGCAGAGGTTTGTGTATAGGAATAGGAACAGGGCAGGGGTGTTATCCTAGTATGTTCTTCCTTCCTACTCTGTTCCTGCTTTGGCTACCAGAGGATTGCATGTGAGAAGCCACTTCCTCTCTGTGGGTGTCAGTTCCTTATATGAAGAGCGGATTAAACAAGACCCTGTATAGAGAAGTGCTTCCCAAGATATCTGGTCCTGGATTCTAAAGACTAGCGTCCATGTGAGCTTGCCTGCCCTGTTTTCTGGAGAAAGTCCATTGCCCTTGATAAGCAAGGACACTGTTTCCTGCATGGTTTGACAAAACTACCTCAGCCTGTTGTTCAGATCTGGCTGGGTGAGACTTGTGGACCACAAGATGGAGCAGCTGAACCCAATCCCGCACAGAAGCACCCATTGCCTCAGAGACACAGTCAACGGGAACACGGTGGCAGTGACCAGTGCCTTCAGACCTTTGTCAGAACAGTGCCTTCAGACCTTTGTCAGAATTGTTATTCTGCATTTGGTTTCAGTGACAACAGTGCTCAGTAACATGCACAGACACACACCCCCAAGACCCCCAAGGCTCATTTAGGGGCATCTGCCTATTCGTGCTGTAGACTAGAAATTCATTTCACCAGTTTTTAATGAACATTGCATAGAAGATTTTTCCTACATCTTCTCAATTGTTTCTTCCTTGTCTCTGTCCCTGTCCTTTCCTACGTTTGGTGAGATTTGGCTTTTTGTTTCGGGATTGTGTGTGTGTGTGTGTGTGTGTGTGTGTGTGTGGTGTGTGATCTTCGTCCAGCTTTAGTCTGGTGATCACCACCTTGCTGGGTGAATGCCCACATGGACAGCTGTGCCATTAGCCTTTTCCGCTGCACCTGTTTAGAGTAGCTGTTATAATTCTTCTTGCGAAGCAGGACTACTTTGCCAGTCTCCTGGCCTTTACAATCTCCTCACACAACCTGAACTTCTTCATCCTTCCTGATGGCATAGATGGAGCACTATATTCATGTCTCCGCTCTTTGGAAAGAGAGGAGGACATAATCTTCCTCCAAATGTGAGAAGGTAAATTAAAATGTTTTTTATAATTCTAGCTTTGGTCAAGACTCACAAAGGGATTAAATTCCATTCCAGTGGCTACCGCTCCAGCAAGGGCTGCAAAAGGGATATCAATAAAGTTTTATTGAAACAGCCACACTCATTTATTCTTGTATTGTCTGTGGCTGATTTCCTGTTACCACTATAAAGTCAGGTAGTTGCAACAGATCTGTCTCACAAAATCTAAAATATTTACTATCTGGCCTTGTGCAGAAAAAGTTTGTAAGCCTTTGTTATAGCTCAAGAGTAAAGGAAATGGGGTTTATATCTCCCAATCAATGACATTTTGTTCAATTTGTGCAGGTTCAATAATGAATACAAGGAACCCAGACTCTAGCATCATTTTTAGCATGGTTTAATATGAACAAAGATTTTTTGACACATTGAGTTCAAGACCCAGCTTTTTTGCTTACAAATTATATAATGTTTGACATGTTGCTCAGTCTTTCTGAGCCTCATTCCCTCATTTATAGCAGACTGTTGACATGCCAGGATCTGAGGATACTTATGATAGTCACTGCTAGTTCTCAGGACAAGAGAAAAATCACCCCAGACTAAGAAGGGGTTCCCCCTGCTGACTTAAGGGTGAGCTGCTAGTTGCAGACATTTATTGACTCCAAGGAATTTGAAATCTGAGTTTAGTGTCAATGTGCCATGAGGATGAAGTCCACAGGGCAGCCTTCTCTGGGACAGAGAGACGTCAGTCTTTTAGAGATGCAGCATCCAGTTTCTTCCATTCATAGCCAGGAAATCCCAACATCTGCAGAACGAACTGGTCACCCACCTCCTTAATTAACCCTCCATTGTGCTTACTGAACCCAAACCTGTGTCTTATATTTGAGGAGCCTTTTGAAGGCAGACTGAGCTTGATTCACCCAGCATCATGTCTGGCCCATCATAGCTGCTCAGCGTGAGCTTGCTGAGTAGGCTACAGAGTCTGAGATTATAATCAGTCTGCTGCCTTCAGTGCTACTTATTACCCAGAACACACAACAGCACCACTCATTCCTGAGCCAGAACATATACAAAGTAGAGGAACCAAGAGGAATACAAGGACTTGACTCTCTTCTAAGACTCCTCAACAGAAATGGTTGTGGGATTCTCTGAGGCAGTATGTCCTCAAAACAGACTCAAGCATTCCAAGATATCCCAGCAGCCTTCAGTCTCTGCAGACAGGATGGAGATTGATTGTATGTCTACCTCTCAACACCTCAGGAGCAACAAGAGTTCAGTTTGAAGAACTGAAAGAAAAAGATCCCTCCACAAATGACAGGTGGTTTGTGAAAGCTAAAGATGCTGCCTGCCTGTGGTGACCCCAGCCCTGGGGTGAGCTGAAGAAACGATCCACAGGGAATGGTCCATGATCTGTGCACACATAGGGACAATTGCTTTCTCCACGACCTCCCACAGCTTTGACTACCAGAGAGCAGAAGCCAGGGATGAAGGTTTAAGTACCTGCCACGCCATCATCTCAGGCCTGTCCTGGAGATCATTGGCTGACACTGTCTTTATGATCTGAAATGCAGTTGGACTTCCAAGTGCACAGCCTCCTAACTTGAGCTTTAACAAAACCTATGATAGGAGAGTGCTCACATGCTAGTCCAGCAGTTCTCTCCCAGCTGTGCGAGTCATTTAACGTCTCTTATTGACCTGGCAGTCAATAAAATAATGTGTGTAAACCACGCTACCCAGCAAGCAGAGCATGATCAGCCAAAGTTAAGTCTTTGCCTTGTTAAGTCACAGCAAGAAGAACCCCTAACTATGAATAGACAAAAAGCTCATAGAGTATTATGTAAGTCTGTTGTTGGTCTGTCTCCTTTAAGGTGTCCTGGTCGGTGAAATCCTCAATAACATGAAGAGTGCAACTCAGTCACAAAAGTACAAGAAACTTTTCATGTATTCTGCCGTAAGTACCTCTGTTTTCATTTAGCATTGACTTGTTCAAGAGTATGCCTCATCTTCTCCATCTTCATGTCGCCATCACCCAAAGGATAAAGCTTTTAGAATAAAATGTATCGTTCTGTTCCTTGAGGAGCTTACAGTCTAATACAAACACTGTCAGTAAGACAGACAGCCACACCAGAGTGCAGCACAAAGCCCATTAGAAGCAAGTGTTTTGGTCCCTCCAAAAAGGCAGCCCACTATCCTTCTGCTGCAGGGGGTAAAGAAGAGACACAGCACGCAGCTTGAATTAGGAAGCCCATCAAATCATTAGAAGGGAAAGGATAATTGGGTCCTTGCTGGTGTGTGAGATGTATGAAGAAAGTTTCCAGGACAGTGAACAGTTAACATTTTGTGGCGACTCTGGCACTAAATTAGTAGGTATTAACTGGGCCACCTAATATAGAAACTTGCAGTCACCTGTAACTATTTAAATATAGATGTCAACAAATTATAATAACATAGAACCAAAACTTAAGTTGGATATAGTAGTGCATGTCTGTAATTCCCACACTTGGAAGGCTGGGGCAGGAAGATTGCTGAGTTCCAGGCCAGTCTGGGCTACACAGTAAAACCTTATTTCACAAAAAGAAAAAGAGAAGGAAAAAAGAAAAGAGAAATGAAAAAGAAAGAAAGAAAGAAAGAAGGGAGGGAGGGAGGGAGGGAAAAAGAAAGAAAAAAGAAGGGTTTATAAATACTGGAATAGGGGGCTGGAAAGACAACTCAGTGGTTAAGAGCATTGGCTGATCTTATACAGAACCTAGGTTGAGTTCCCAGCACCCACACAGGAGCTAACAACCATCAGTAACTCCAGTCCCAGGGGACAACACCCTTTTCTGGCCTCCGCAAGCACTGCACACAAAACACTTGTATACATAAAATAACAATAAATAAATATTTTTTTCCATTCTGGAAGAGTTGATGTGGAATCTCTATTTCTGGCAGTGTGGAAATTGAGAAATTCCATGCCACCATTGCTGCTTCTCAGGAAGGAAGGAAGGAAGGAAGGAAGGAAGGAAGGAAGGAAGGAAGGAAGGAAGGAAGGAAGGAAGGAAGGAAGGAAGGAAGGAAGGAAGGAAGGAAGGAAGGAAGGAAGGAAGGAAGGAAGGAAGGAAGGAAGGAAGGAAGGAAGGAAGGAAGGAAGGAAGGAAGGAAGGAAGGAAGGAAGGAAGGAAGGAAGGAAGGAAGGAAGGAAGGAAGGAAGGAAGGAAGGAAGGAAGGAAGGAAGGAAGGAAGGAAAGGGGGGAGGGAGGAAGGAAGGAAGGAAGGAAGGAAGGAAGGAAGGAAGGAAGGAAGGAAGGGAAAGAGCAAGCTCATTTAAGTGCTTCAGTTTCCCTGTCCACATTTAGGAAGTTCATATACTCAGTGTCTCCAGAGCTAGACAGCACATAAAGCCTTTTCATTATCACAGAGTGTTTTTAGAGGGCCCTTCAACTTCTTAGAATGTCTGTGCTGGAAGACACTTAAAGGCCATCTTGCTCTCACACCCATTGGGGTAATGTATGAAAAGACTCAGGATGGCAAGGCGGGGGTGGTGAGATGGGAGCAACACTTCAGAAATCAGTCCTCTTGTGGAAAGACTAGAAGTTGGGAATAGGATATAATATGTCAAAATTATGTATATTTGGGGGAAATGTGGATAAAATGCACATAAAACAAGTTTTATGCTGCATAAAACTAGGGTGGCGACAGGAGAGGAAAGGGGTTAGCTGGGTTACAAGGAAAGCTATGGCTTTGGCTGGAGATCATGCTTTTACTCATGCAAGAAGGAGAAGAGTACCAGAAGACGTGGGGAATTGTCATCACCAGGAACTCTAGGTGGAAAAGACTAGAGGAACAGCCCATGGAGGGAACCAAAAGTGGTGCTTCTGAGAGACGTGGGCCTGAAAGTAGACAATTATGCCGCTTTTTAAAAAGTCTCCAAATTAATCTCCAGTCCTTACTTACTGTGCGGCTTTTAGAAAGTCTTAGTCTTAGCTCGTTTTTATCCTCTCTGTGTTGGTTCCACTGCTTTTGTGTGTATGCACACCACCGTGCAGTTTAGGCGTCCAAATGCATCCAATTTTTTTCCCTCAGTGCTGGGACATGAATGGAGGGCTTTCTGCATACCAGGCAAGCACACTCTACCAACCAAGCAATATCCCCAGTCCCAGGTGCCAAATATCCCATTTTATAGATTCAGAAGATGGAGATTACCCAAGATTAAGCACTTTATCCATGTCCAAAGTGGGATTAAACCTACTCATAGACCAATATCATTTTTTTGTGAGTTCCCTAGCTTTATTTATTTATTTTTATTTTAATTAAAAGAAGCATTTCATGACCAATATCATTTTTACTTTCATTAATTTTTTTAAACATACACTCTCTGCTCCCACACAGCTTTAACCTCCCTAAACATTCATGACCTTCTATTCTCTTCTACAACTGTAAATCCAAAGATGATGCAAATCTGTGGGAAAAGTTAGCATCCATCTGTTCCAGATTATTTAAATTTTAATGAAATCATTGTAACAAGCAGAAACACAGATGTGTTCTACAGGATAAGCCACAGGACTTAAAATCAGAAGACTTGCTTCAAGTTTAGTTTATTTGATTTTAGGGTTAGATAATATTAGGCAAGTTACTTAATTTCTCAGTTTCTTCATATTTTAAATGGAAACAGTATGTCTGTAAATCTTACTGGCCAGACACTCAAGAAAAAACAGTTCTTGCCCTTTCTTACATATTAAATCATTGAGAGTATGGAGAATCTCATTGACTCAGAAACCATCACAGTACCCTACAAGTGCTAGAACCTATTGAATATTTATCTGAACCAGGAGGTAAACTAAAAATTGATTCTAATCTCTGCAGCATGACACTACTGTAAGTGGCCTGCAGATGGCGCTAGATGTTTATAATGGACTCCTTCCTCCCTATGCTTCCTGCCACATAATGGAACTGCACCACGAGGATGGGTAAGTGACCTCCTGGCTTTGCTATTAGTAGTTTTGGGGGTTTTGTTTTTGTTTCTGTTTTGAGACAGGTTCTCACTATGTAGGTTTGTTTGGCCTGGAACTCGCTATGTTAGACCAGGTTGGTTTAGAATTTACAGAGATCTGCCTGCCTCTGCCTCTCAAGTATGCACCGCCACACCCAGCTTCAGGTTCCTATATATAGTGTACATATTTCCAACTGACTCCAATTTGTGCTGCCCATATATTCATGGGTATGGGCCATCCACTGGAGCATGTGACCAAGCAGGGACCATACCCCTAAAGAAAATGCCTTCCTCTAGCAGCCATCAGCTGGGGGTATTTTTGTTCTTCATTTAGACAATGTTCCACTTTGTAGCTTGGGTTGACCTTAAAGTCACTATGTAGCTGAGCTTGAACTTGTGATCCTCCCACCCCAACCTCCAAGTGCTGAGATTACAGGAATGCCTTACCATGTCCAACCTAGTACTGTTTTTGTTGGCTTAAGGATTACTGTGTCTGTCTATATTTGGTTTGGTTTTATGCTCAGAGGGAGGGATGGTAGTAACGGTACCTTCAGCTCTGTTTCTTGAAGCCTATGATTGGGAAATAATGCGTACACGGTAGATGGATTGAAAGAAACATCCACGATGACAGAAATTACATTTTTTAAATGAAGGCAGTACAAGGAGTAGGCAGACATTACAGTTTTCTCTTGAGAAAACAAAAACTGTCTAGTACACAAGGCACCAAGAGAAAAATTAGTTGCCTGATGCTTATATAATAATAGTCTTTCCTTGAAACACTCCAGACATGAAATGCAGCTTCTGATGACTCATATCCATTGGTCAAGATTTTTAAAACACAATTGGTGACCAGTGTTTATCTCTTTGTGTCCTGGTATGACCATCCTGTGATGACTAGCTTGACCCCAGGTAAAAGAAAAGTCACTTAGAAATGCCAGATGTCCCAGTTTTCCCCAGAACCAGGGGAGAATGTGTGAATTTCACTTTTCAAATAGGAAAAATCCTGGGCAAACCAGGAAAAATTGGACACCAGAGACAAGCGCACACCAAGAATGTGTGGTGGTGTTCTGCCATGACAACGATGCTCTCCTGGGAGGAGGAAGGGGTGTGTTTCCCGCAAGTTGCCAGACCCCGTGGAATAGAAATAAAGAAAGGACCAAGTGAAGGCAGTGACCCCAGAGTTTTGGTTCAGGACATCAAAGGAATATATTGTGGCCTCCCCTCAAGGCTGCAGGCCAGACCAGCCTGGCAGTTTAGGGCCCTGTGCTCAGAACATTACCAGTCAGTTACCTGGAGCCTTTTTCCTCTACCCACAGAAGAATCATGGGTGGGAAAAGAAGGGCTCTTCCAGTGCTGGGTTTGGCTGATTTTGTATTTCTTAGCATTTAGCAGCAGCAAGGAGAGACAGCAGGAATGCCAGAGCAGCAGCAGGTGGTGCCTTATAGTTTCATGGCTCCCCTGGAGGCTTCGGGTATCAAGACCCTTTGCTCTACAAGTGTTACAGATCTTGTGTAGGCCTAAGAAGTCTGGGTTCCTCAGCCCTTGACAGCAGCAACTCCCAGGCCTGGGAAATCTGAGACCCTTGGCCTTAAAGGCCTTAAAGCTGTCTGGAAGCCTTCCGTCAACAGGGCCTGCTCTCTGGCTCCTTAAATCCTTTGCTCCTCCTTCATCCTCAGCGCTCCATCCTCCTGCCCACCTCTGCAGCATTGCTACGCCACGTTACGTTTGTACCTGAATAAAGAATCAGCCTGACTCTTAGCACTGAGTTTCAATAGCCAAGAGTGGACTCCAACCGCAAGAGTTTGTTTCTTCAGATCTATCACTATGCTGTGCTCCTGAGTCAGGTCTCACCCATACTTTTATTCAAAGCTGTTTCTCCAGCATCGATTGAGGAACTACAAGCTTGGATCCACCCTTATCAGAGAATCTTGTCCTTTGATCCCTAGGCTTCAAATATCTCAGACATAAAATGTCAATTATTCTCTCGGTTTTCAATGGGGATACAAATATAAACGCACTGCATTCAGTGACTCGAAATTCACATTCATTCACTATACTGGATGGAGGGCAAAGTGGGGTCTGGAGGGTTCAAGGTCAGGTGCCCAGGTCACAAGAGCTCATGGGTCAGTGAGCTTGTTTGTATTATAAACAGTAGCTTTGTTTTTTGTCTTTTTGAGACAGGGTCTCCCTGTCCTGGAACTCACTACGTAGACCAGGCTGGCCTTGAACTCACAGAGATCCGCCTGCCTCTACCTCCCGAGTGCTGGGATTAAAGGGAAACAGTAGCTTTTTGGTGCAAGGCCGAGCTAAAGTCATTAGTCCAGACATCATTCCTACACACCATGTTATCTGCCCCGGGTGCTCCCTCCAACTGCGGCCTCTTCCGCTGTCAGGTGAGTCTCTCCTGACTCTCTGGCAATTATTCCACAATCAGTTCATAGTACTTTGACTGGTTGATTTCGGGCATTCAACCTTCCAGAGTTTGTTTTTGAAATAAAAATTTGAAAGATTCCCTTTTTAAAAATATTTTATTATTTTTATCTTATGTGTATGAGTATATTGCCTATATGTGTGTAAGTGTACCTGTGTCATGCAATGCTCACGGAGATCAGAAGAGGGTGTCGGATGGTTGTTAGCTGCTAGGAATTGAACCCAGGTCCTCTGCAAGAGCAGCCAGTGCTCTTAACTGCTGAGTCATGTCTGCAGCCCGGGAAGATTCTCTACTTAATATGACCCAGGAATTGAATATATGTCCACTTTCTCCTTCTGAGAGCTAACTTTCCATGATGTCTTATCCTATTCACAAGTACATCTGTTGTATATTCTTCAGTTCTGTGTTTATGCTGAAGGAGAGGGGAGATAGATACACTTAGGAGAAAGACTGAGAGAAGAGAAAAAGGAAGGAGCAAGTGAGAGGCACAGGGAGTGGATGTGGGAGCGGATCCAGCATTCCACTTAAGCCTCCACTTCTGTAGTTTTTTCCTCTTTAGAAATCAGTAAAATTTTATTCACTCCCATTTTCACCATTAACAGAAACCTGAAGCAACATATTTTGTGCCTTACAAAAATAAATACCCTCTTTACCCCAAATTCAACTGAGAACTGGGAAGAAGAAAGTATCCTCCCCCAAGCTCCCTGAGCTGATCTTTGTCTCCTAGACAAAGCTTTTTTATATACTTGCCAACAACTCAATATGGCCAACTTAATATGAGGGCCAAGAAATTAGGCCAATCCACTCCTGTATCACAGTGTGGATCCACTCCTGTATCACAGTGTGGATCCACTCCTGTATCACAGTGTGGATCCACTCCTGTATCACAATGTGGAACAGAAGCTACAAGGATCAAGTGCCTGTGTTCAACAGGACACAGAAACCTGGGGTTACCGACACAAGAAAAGAAAATGGGCTGGAGAGATGACTCGGTGGTTAAGAGCATTTGCTGCTCCTCCAGAGAACCTGTTTGATTCCCAGCACCCAAGTTGGGCAGCTCACAACTATAACTCCAGCTCCAATGGATCTAAACCGTCTTCTGGTCTCCACAGGCGCCTGTACACATGGCATACACTCACTGATAAACATAAATAAAAATGAAATAAATCCTTAAAATGCCAAACATTAGAACCTCATTCTTATCCAAAGCCAGACCTAGTTCTGCTAACCATCTCCTTTCTACTTCTCTGATGTATGCTAGTCCCACCCTCTGTGTCCTGTTTATCTAGCAAAACAATGCCCCCCCCACAGTGCTACCTCCTAGTCTGCCCCACCTATCTCAATCTCCATATCCCCCCACACACAAATGAGCTAAAGTTTCCTCTTTTCCGTAAGCTCTTCCACTGACCCTTATGGACATGTTACAGTTTGAGTGGAAAGAAATCATGACAGTTTTGCACCGTGGAACTAATAGTCCTTTCCTCTGTGCCTCTCCAATCCCAGGGAGTACTTTGTAGAGATGTATTATCGGAATGAGACTCAGCACGAGCCCTACCCCCTCACGCTGCCAGGCTGTGCCCACAGCTGTCCTCTGGAGAAATTTGCAGAGCTACTGGACCCTGTGATCCCCGAAGACTGGTCTGAGGAGTGTATGATCACAAGCAATCACCAAGGTACTGAGGATGTTTCAAATTAGCGAGCACACAGAGCTCCACAGGAGCATAATGCCCTTTCCCAAACAGTTGGGGTTTCAGAATACATTTTGGCGGTTATGCACAGCTTGGAAGGAAATGGGTTTGGGTTGATAATCGTGTATTTTAGGAGCTTCTCACTTCAAGCAACTCCTACCTCTCCACCAAGTCCTGTACCTACTTGCTGTAAACCTTAAACCTTAACTTGGTTGGCTGGACACCAGTGCCCAGTGTAATCAGGAATAAACATTGGGTCAAAGTTCATGGGGCTGCTAGTGAGCTGACCACAAAGAACACTGTTGTTGAAGGACTGACTCTAGGGTTTGCTTGGGCAGGATAAGGGGAGGCTACACCTGAAATGTCTGAAGTAAAACAGATTTCAAGCAAAGCCCACAAGTTAGGTAGGTAGGAAGGGAGGGCGGGAGGGAGGAGGGAAGGAAGGAAGGAAGGAAGGAAGGAAGGAAGGAGGACAAAAAGAAGGAAGGAAGGAAGGAAGGAAGGAAGGGGGAGGGAGGGAGGGAGGGAGGGAAGGAAGGGAGGGAAATGAATCCTAGGCTAATGGGCAAAGGACCAGCTAACCAGCAATAATGCCCATCAGTTCCTGCCTTCTCTCAAAAAGAGGCAAAAAGATGAGGTACAGTGGAGAGAACTGGAGCTTTCTACACTGAGCACCTAGTACGATCAGTTTTTATATTTATGTCACAACATACTGGGTGGCAGGAGGGAAAAATGGAAGCCTTTCTGCGTCTTCTGCGACTTGGAGCATTCATATTTCTTTTGAAGAAACCAAAAATCAAGCTTTCCAGGAAGTTTTGATGCATGCCCCACATACTCAGCTCTCAGAATGCAGTTTGTAGGAAATAAGTAACCTCAAGAACAAGATACTCACAGTCCCTCAGAGGCTGGCATACCCCACCGGGCTTCTCCCAAAGCTCCAGTGGTAAGATGCTGGATCTAAAGCGGATTGACAACAGGGTGCACAAGGACACACACACCACACTGGAACAAAATTAGAATGTTCTAGGAACCTTCAAGTTCAAAAGTTATTGGAATGTTGAGCATGGCTGTGAAATTTGCTCAGAGGACCAAAGAAATGTTCAGGGCTTTGATTCTGATAACTTTGGAAGCGCTAAGCAAACTCACAGGTCTACTGACACTGCTCACTATGCAAGAAGCTGTGCTTGAATGATACTTTTTTATTTATTATTTTTATTTTATGTGTATGAGTGTATTGCTTGCATATAGGTAGGTGCACCCACAAGAGGGCATCGGAGCCCACGGAACTGGAGTTACAAATGGTTGTTGGGAATCAAACCCAATATGTGGGTGCTAGGAATCAAACCCAGGTCCTCTGCAAGAGTGGGCTCTTCACTGATGAGCCATCTCTCCAGCCCTTGAATGACAGTCTTTAGCATCTTTGGATTCTCCATGTGGTAGTTACATCACCTCTACAAAGCGCTGAGCTGTTATTTCCATTACGAATAAAGACCAGGCAGCTATTGAAGGTGGATTCCTCTGGAAGCCAGAATCTAGGGCACAGCCATCCCCTCTGCTGGTTGGTCACAGAATGAGTGCTGTAAGACTTGGATTGGCAGACTTCTCTGTGTTTTTTTCCCATGTAAACATTTGTTGTTGGGTCCATCCATGTCTACACTTGTAACTATAGTCTAGCAGTGAGCCAAATGTAAAATAGTGAATAAAGTCGTTATTAGGAAGTTCAAAAGCACTACCTTTATAATGAATTTTGCAAAGCTTGTATGTGTGTGTGTGTGCGTGTGTGTATGCGTGTGTATGTGTGTGTACATGTTTAATTAGAATAAAATTCCTGTAGTCAGATGTAAGGGGTTGATTCTCTTTTTTAAAATATTTTTATTTATTTATTTTTATTTTTATTTTATTTGTATGAGTGTAATGCCTGCATGTAGGTAGGTGCACCCATGTCATGCAATGCCCGTGGAAGTCAGAAGAGGGCATCAGATCCCCTGGAACTGGAGTTACAGAGAGTTGTCAGCCACCATGTCGGTGCTGGGAATCAAACCCGGGTCCTCTGCAAGAGCAGTCATTACTCTTAACCACTGAGCCATCTCTCCAGCCCCTATTATTTATTTATTTATTTTATCTTATGTGTATGATGAGTGTATTGCCTGTTGCATGTAAGTGCACTGTGTTATGCAATGCCTGCAGAGGTCAGAACAGGGTGTCAGATCCCCTGGAATTGGAGTTAATGGAAGGTTGTTAGCTGCCATGTGGGTGCTGGGAATCAAACCCAGGACCTCTGCAAGAGCAGCCAGTACACTTAACCACTGAGCCATCTCTCCAGCCCTAAGGGGCTCTCTTTTTATTTGGGGGCTTTATCCTAATATAACAGATGGGACTGTATAAAATAAAGTAAAATTATTTGTCTGGACTAAATTAAAATTTTATATTAAAAATATAGTTTGAATTACTTCCGGTAAAAGGTAAGCAGTGGATGCAAGTCCCTCATCTGTTTAGATGGAGCTTGGTAAGGAAATGCCCTTAGGAAGTTTGCAATGTATTAACAGAAGTAGAGAGATACTATTACCCAGAACAACAAGGATATATTTTAGGACTCTGTGGGTTGCCATGGAAACAAGACTGAGGACTTTGGGAGAGGGTCAGGAAGTAAGGAAGGTTAGAGAAAGCTTTCTGAAACAAGTAATTACAACTACTGTGCAATCAAAGAGAATTCTTTTTCCTTCCTTTTTTTTTTTGGTCTTTTTGAAGACAGGGTCTCCCTGTAGCACCAGCTAGCCTGGAACTCGCTGTGTAGACCAGGCTGGTCTTTAACTCACAGAGATCCACCTGCCTCTGCCTTCCGAGTGCTGGGATTAAAAGCGTGTGCTACACGTCCAGCTTCCTTTCTTCCTCTTTCCCTCACTCCTTCCCTCGCCTATCCTCCCCCCCCCATTTCTTTCTTTCATGTTGGGAGTCTCTAACCCCAGAGATTTCTAATAGTGTATTACATTACTGGCTGTCCAGAGGTTTAAAGCTGAGTTACACACCAGAATCTGCTCCAAAGAGATTCCCATGAGTTACATTCAAAGGGCCATTTATGATAAGACAAAAGCAAAAATTTTATTTGTTGTGTCCTCAATACCTAAAAGTGCCTGTGTTGGGCATTGGTTGGTGACAGAATGTGTGAACTGCAAAAGAGCCACAGGCCTCATTAGGGAAAGCCATAAATCCTTCAAGTGTCTAACTGGCCCTAAATTGACAGCCTGGCCTTGCTCAAGCCTTATCAACTGGTCACTCCCTGGACTGAGACTGTGGGGCCTACATGTCTTCTTTAAGTGCTATAGATAACGCACCTGCCTGAGCAAATAATCTTGGGAGAAGAGCCCCTCAAGGACACCAGACCCTGGCGGAGTTAACTCTTGCAGCTGTGTGCAGCAGAGTCCCTACATAAGTCCAGACTCTCCCCATTTCATTGCAGATAATCATTCCTTGAGAAAGGGCTGTCAGCCTTTGCCGGGTTTTCTGAATCAAGGGAACTCATTCCTTGCCTGTTGCGGGTCTGGCTCTGACTCTTATTTCTAAACTTTAAACTCCTTCCTTTTTCTGCCCTCCTAAATCTAACAGTTGGTGCTGAATAAATAAATATGTGCTCGCAGTACTGTGTAGTTACCTTGGCTCCCTGAACCTCCTCTTGTTTATCTTTATTAGACACAATAAATACCCAACAACCTGAGAATCATTTTCATCTCACCAGAGGGGTGAAATACCTGACTTTATTCCCAAGTCAGTTTCTCTCCCTTTGTTAAATCTATCTGTAGCGTGTTTGTAGAATTTTCCTCTCATTTCAATACCCAAGTGAAGCGAATTAGGATTAAGTAGCAAAGCGTATCAGCAAGAAGAAACTATAAGGCTGTTGAGCCGCGGCGCTGTGCCGTCAGTCCCCGAGGGTAAACTACGCGCATCTCTTCCCTGAGTTCCACGACTTACCTGAAAACACCCTCTCTCATCCTGTTGCCAGCGCCTTCAGTTTCCCAGGACCTATCTCAGCTTCATTAAAGCCCTTGGCACTGACTTTGGTTACGCAGCGACTCCGTCCCAGCTCCTCTCCTGCTCTCAATGGAAGCAACGCTGGCGTTCCTTTCCGGTGATGACCCTGCCCATGTCCTGCCCGCTGCACCATGCCCTGAAGTCAGTCCCATGATTTTTCCATTTTGAGCTGCGAAAAAGAGCTAAAAATAAATATATCTATTTTTAAAAAAATTTTTAAAGAAGGCTCGGGGCTGGAGAGATGGCTCAGCGGTTAAGAACACTGGTTGTTCTTGCAGAAGACCCGGGTTCGAATCCCAGCACCCACATGGCAGCTAACAGCTGTAGGTAACTCCAGTCCCAGGGGATCCAACAACCTCTTGTGTCCTCTGCGGGCATTGCACAACACGGGTGCACTTACCTACATGCAGGCAATACACTCATACACATAAAATAAAAATAATAAAAATAAATAAAAAATTTTTAAAAAAGAAGCCTGAGCTTTTTGTCGCCATTTCAAGCAATGAATGTTAAATTTTCTACTCTAGCCCTAGCTGGGTCCTTTCTACAGCTGCTTAGGAAATGCACTGGCCCTTTCCCCACTCTCTACAGGAAGACCTCTTCATTTTCCCAGACTTTAAACCCCATTTAACCTTTCATATAATAATAAAGATAATCAGCTGATCCCCCTTTCAGGTTCTTGTCTCACAACCTCAAAACACACCAAAAGCTTTAAGTCTTCCTTCCTGTTGCCCTTCAGGAAGACATTTTCTCGCTCCCTCCTTCCCCCCATCCTTCTTTCCTTTTCTTTCTTGTTTGTCATTATTGCCATCTTTGAAAGAGAGAGAAAACCAAGGCTTTTGATACATGTTGCCAAGATGGTTTTTGGTTGTTTGGTTGTTTTTTCAAAGTACCAATGACATGCCCTGTGGCAGTTTTTGTGTTTCCTGATGGTGGAGCATCATTCCAGCCACTGCCTG